TTTGTCAGACCTAAACATTGCTGCAAATTAGGCCCAGTTTACACCTCGAATTTTACGTGCACTGAATCTAATTGCCGAATTAAGTGCAGGTGAAATGTGACATTTGAATCAAGTAAATGCGACAATTTGAATTAAATGCAAATTCAGTCAAATATTCAACTGATCCAGTCGAATATACAACTGAAGTCTGACAGTTGATTTAAACTCCGTGTTTTACATATGCCGAATCTAATTCATAAATTATGTTAAATTGTATTTCAGTCATTCAGTAATTCCACAATTTTGTGCTGCATGACATGCACGCAACAAGCTGAAGGGAATTTTTGGTGGCAATTTTAGTAGGAGATGTAGAAGGAAAACTGTTGATGATGCCAATATGTGTGGTTCTTGCTTCACTTCAGTTGTGCAGTGAAGTCATGCAAAACCAATTACTTTTCGGCCGTCAAGCAAAAACCACTCTATGCTACACAACATGCAAAGTAGGAAAGTAATATGGCGACTGTTGAGGAAAATAGTGTATGCGGTGGCTCATACTTCTCTTCGGCAAAGTTACATAGAAGATGGGGAGCGAAGTCTATGAACTTGAATTTGATTGGGAAAGTGAAACAAAACTCAGAGTTTAGAGGTAATGCACTGCAATCTGCATTATAAATCGCCATATGCTGTTTGCGCGAATGGTGTTTGAAAGGTATTAACGATCTAATTGCAAAATGTGCTCCTTATCATTTTCAGCTGCAGTGGTGGGAAAATTGAAGCGGAGTGTGGGAATGAACATGTCGCTCGCACTCAACAATTTTAATTCTGCACAAAAAATGTGACGTTTAAATCAAGTGCCAAACTTATTAATTCTAGTCAACTCAAATTAGTATTAGATTCGGCGCATTTAAAATGTGACGTTTAAACCGGACCTTAAAACTGCTAATTTNGAGTTTAGAGGTAATGCACTGCAATCTGCATTATAAATCGCCACATGCTGTTTGCGTGAATGGTGTTTGAAAGGTATGAACGATCTAATTGCAAAATGTGCTCCTTATCATTGTCAGCTGCAGTGGTGGGAAAATTGAAGCGGAGTGTGGGAATGAACATGTCGCTCACACTCAACAATTTTGATTTGGTACAAAAAATATGACGTTTAAATCAAATGCCAAACTTATTAATTCTAGTCGACTCAAATTAGTATTAGATTCAGCGCATTTAAAATGTGACGTTTAAACCAGACCTTAAAACTGCTAATTTAGCATTATTTTACATATGAAAGTACCAATATACTTAAATCCATTTGATTACATAATAAACCATTTTTTTCTATACAGGTTTCATAAGTATGCTTACACAATGTACACAGAATATATATACACAGTGCATGTATACAATTTACACACAAAGTAATTCCCTGGCCAAACAGACACACAACTAGCTGCAAGTTGAACTTGTGTAGAGACTTGCACTGGGTGGCCAAACGGACCTGCAAGTTTCCTCACAAGTCCACGCAAGTCGCAAAAAAAACCCCAACCATTTCAAGGTCACCATATTGAAAACCCTGCATACATTGTTATAACAACGAATGGATGTTACTCAACTTGCTTCGACTTGGGTTGGGTGGCCAAACAGTGAAAAACTTGTGTCAACTTGTGGGCAAAGTCATCGCAAGTCAATGCAAGTGCATGCAAGGCCTGGCCAAATGGGGTCCCAAGTGAACCCAAGTGTCTACTTATGAGTCTGTTTCGTGAGGGTTAATGGTGCTGTTACACTAGGCAATAAACATGGCTTGCAATTTTGTTGTGATGTGCAATAATTGCCCAGTGTATCATCAAATGACTATGCATGTCTTGCAATGTTTTTGTTCCAGTAGTGGTGCACAAATTAAATGATCAAGTTCTAACTTTTCTGCACAGTTACAGCGATGAAAAATGTTGCAAGATATGTTTGAATCAGGGGGTATTGTACCAGGTATTTTCTTGTGCAATGCCGCAACAAAATTGTAAGACAAATTACAAGGAAAATGGCCTTGTGTAACAGCACCTTTACATTGTGTATGTTGTATACAAACACATTGTATACTCATAGTCGCATGCCACTTTACCTTACTTGATTCATCCTTTTCTAAATTTCACACTAAAACATTTTTTTTTGTGAGCAGTGCCTGTATTATTGCTACTGAACAATGTTCTAAGACACTGAAGGTAACCTAACTGATCCAGGAATAAATGATGGGACCTGTATGTGTAGCTTTTTCATGTCAGTTGTTCATATACTGTAGCTGGAAAACAGTATATAGATTAAACCATCAGGTTAAACTTGACCATCAACATTTCTTTTCTGAACCGCTGAGGTTCTAGCCTGCAAGCAGGATCTTGTGCATTGCAGCTTGAGCTAAGGCGATGAGCAAATTTGTGAGAGACGAGTTGGTGGGTGGGGTTAGCTGGTGAGGGGCCTCCGGCTCATAGACTACTATAGGTTCACTTTCTTCAGTAGAAGTTTAATTAATTTTACAGACCACTTTTAGTTCTAGAATTAGTATAAACAGTGCTACATGACATCAAGTGTTACTTTATTACTTTTTCTTCAACTGTCTAGTGTGCCAGAGACTCCCATAGTTGACGAATCTTTAGTTACTGATCAGTCTTCAGCGGTGCCGTCTGTAGCTTCAGTTTCTGTTGGCGAGGTGGTTGGAAATGCAATCCCTCTGTGCCCGTCTTCAAGAAGAATAAAGTTTCTAATTGAATGGAGAGATAAGACCATTCCTGTGACATTAGATGACAGTGAAACAATAGGTATTGTCAGGGTTTTTGATTTTTAATTTGTACCTCCTTATGCGTGTACATGTATGAAAAAATTAGCCTATCAGATTGATTGTTTTCCTTAAAATGCATGTGGGCAAAATGTTAGGCACAATCATATGTACAATTGGGTTGGTTGAACCCTGAAGGAGGCATTAATTCCAAAATGTCAGTAATGATTTTTATTATACATGTAATACACTGATTCCAGAAAAAAACGGAAGTTGTACGCAAGCGAGGCTTAATAGCCCTCGAACTTTCAAAATGGCGGACGAAATGCTGGGGAAGAACGAAAAAATTCGAGTGTATGTAGGTTAGAGCTACTTGTCTGGAGCAAATGTGGTAAAGAAAAGGAAAGAGTTGGACACAAGTGTTGTGCGGCTGCAAACTCTAATAATCGAAGCAAAAACCAACCTGATTTATCATTTCCACGACTGAGTTTCCTTCAGACAAGCTAGCCAGATAAACAAAGAGGAAAAAAGTGGGAAATACTTATGCAAAGGGGAGATGTCTATTTTACCTCGGTAGGAAATGATTTTTGTTGTTCCGAGCACTTCTTGCCAAGTGATTTTAAACTGAGTACACTTTTTGAAACTGGAAGCCGNCCCGTCTTCAAGAAGAATAAAGTTCCTAATTGAATGGAGAGATAAGACCATTCCTATGACATTAGATGACAGTGAAACAATAGGTATTGTCAGGGTTTTTGATTTTTAATTTGTACCTCCCTATGCGTGTACATGTATGAAAAAATTAGGCTATCAGATTGATTCTTTTCCTTAAAATGCATGTGGGCAAAATGTTAGGCACAGTCATATGTACAATTGGGTTGATTGAACCCTGAAAAAGGTATTAATTCCAAAATGTCAGTAATGATTTTTATTGTAGATGTAATTATGGTTGAACTGCCAGCTCGGTCCATAAACCTGCAAAAAAGAACTTCACCAATATTTCTCTAATATGGACCTCACACAAGTTCAATATCATATTGTAGAATGATAACTAACATTTTTAGTGCCCCATGGCCCAAGAAACTAAATTTATCTACAATGTACATGTACACTGTAGTTCAAGGCATCACACTATATATGACTTTATATTAATTCGTATTTACCAAGTGTGAAGGCTGTACTTGGAGAATATTGGCCTGGGGTCTTGACAGTGTGGACCAAGTGCAGCAGAGGTCTTAAAAAATGACATGCAGTTAATAATTATGCTCCCAGTACAGTTCTGAGCAAACGTGTTATTGCTTAATTACATGACTGAAAATGTTTAGAAAAAATGTTATGATCACAGACTGGAAAAACATTGGAAACTTCAGGAGTGCAATTCTGATGGGATGCAACTGTAGGCACATACTTTAATCTNCCCATGAGTCTCCTAAATAATGTTCTGGTGGTACATGCAGACATTTGAATGTGTACTTTCTATCACATGAACATCACCTCATTTTTGTTTGCTGACAAACTCTACAGAGTGTACTAAGCACTTTAAGCTTAAGAGAAGAGACAGCATTGGTTTTAGTCAGCCGTTTGGTGACAACCACACCAAAAGAAAGTCAACCATGTTCAGTTAAAAGAACTACCGTCAATGGTGAAGCAAGGTAAATGTGAAATCATATCATGTTGTGTTTTCATTTCAGTTGGTACATTCAATATATAAACAATAGCCTCCATTGGGTGCGAAAATATGCTCAGATATTTGTGTGTGGACATTATCTGTTCCGAGAAGTGAACAGTCTTCTGAGAGCGTAGCTCAAGGAAAACTGTGAGCTTCGAGGAACAGATAATGTCCAAGGACAAATATTCAAGTATATTTTCGCACCAAATACAGTATAGAGCTATTGTGTTTATTATCCTTCATTTACTTTTTGCAACACGCCCAGGTTTGAAAATTGGAGAATATCCTTGGGTATTCCCCAGTTTTAGCTGGGGAATATTCAGTCATGTGATGCATTTAGACCAATCGCACGTGAGCGAAAATATTTGATGGATTATAAGCTGTTATAGCTCCTTGATCATACCCACCTGTACATTTACATGTATGCACACGTACAACTGTCACCATTCTGTTTCCATTTGTTCCTAATGGAAGATACCCACAAAACCAAACCCTGAACTTAGTTTACTTCTGAGCAACTGGTAGCCATCATTCACTTCTTTCCAGCTAATAGGAACAACTTGCCAACCTGTTTAAATTGTTGCATTTACCAATAGAGAATTAATGTACATGTACTACTAACAGTTGACGATACATGTGATCAAATGCAAATCCAATATTACATGCATCACATCTTACATCTATCTGTTTGATGTGTAGTCTACTGGCTGATGTGAAACCTAAACATGTACATGTAATTGGTGTTCTGGTTTTTACATTAAGTTTCTGGTATGGTACATGTATAATAAGCCCCCTATTTTATAGTTCATTTATTTTACTCAGGGTCCATGTTGATAGCAGTTTTTACAACTGAAATGGTCATCCTGCATAGATATGTTTATTTATTATTATTATTATTATTATTATTATTATTATATTATCATTATTATTGTCATTGTTATTATTATTATTATTGTTATTATTTATTTATTTATTTATTTATTTATTTCGCTCCCCTCCCTCTCAAGAGGTCTTGAAAAGAAATATTTCCATGTACCTCAACGGACCAAAAACAGTATGTAAGAGCTTTATGTTATGCCTTTTTATGGTGATTATTGTCGCTGATGAATATTCTTATTTCATTAATTAAATATATGTTGTAGTTTGTGTACAATTTACCTGACACGGTTGTTGTCACTTTGATGTTACACTGAGCTGTTAGTAGTGATTAAATATTTGTTTAATGTCCCACAGAATGTTGTTTGCCATCTGAGAAGCATACGGTACATTGTGATTTCTGATTTCTTTTTAATTATTTCACCAGCTCATCATCAAAAAGCTGTAATTCACTGGAGAAGATCATGTTAAACATTCACTATGGAAGCAAAGAATTTAACCTTCCCTATGCATTAACTAAGTCAATAGGAGAGGTATGGCTTGTTGCAGCTAGAGTCCAGACTTTATTTCTTGGTAACATCTTGCTAATGACATGTTAAACACCATGAATTACTTACTGTACAATCCATTATTTACAATACCTCACTTCACTTTTGTCCATAATTTCCTTGGGTAATAGGTAGGAAATTTTTTGTTACCAAGCCACTCTGTCATGTTCAACCACTGCTGTCCTACTCCACAGCATAAAACCTAATAAGGCCCAAAATATGACTGTGAGTTTCAAGAAGGCTCATTGTGTTGGATTGCAAAATACAGAAATTACTGTCACCCATGTCGCCCTGACAGCAAACTTTCTTTACTAGTCTAATGGCTAGAGTCTGGATTCTGGATCGAAAGTCAGTGGTCCGGTTCTGGCTGTGGCTAGGACTTGAATGGACTGCAACATCTATTGAACTTGTTCAATACAGTAAATTCGTCATCGATATTTGTCCTTTCTGCGCCATGGCCTCCAAAGCAGCAAATTAGCAGTAGAAATTGTGTTTAAATGGCAGAAATGAAACCTTGAGAACTTTGGTTAACTCTNCTACTCGAGGACTATTACTAATAGTCCTCTAGTAGCGTAGCCAATTAAAATGCAGGATTTGCATTAGTCCACTAGTTGGGTGATACTAATGAATATTATTGCCATGCAACTTTGCCTATTAGGCTAGTACCTCAAAAGCAAGATTTGCAGATGTGGATATGGAAGGAAATGATGATAGCAGTGAAAATGAAGATCCATCGTACCCTGTCGACGATGACGAGATGTTTTGTGATGTTACATCTGCCAGGAGACAAATAAGTGTAATGTGTAAGTGGACAACAGTTGACAATGTTGGGCAATCTAAAAATATAGTGTACGTATTTCCGTTAACTATTGTATGCGCACATCATGTACTCGGTCTGCTTGCCAAAATATTTATTTTAATTGAATAAAGTAATTTTATTTTTGAAGTGGAAGATGGCTGTACAGACAGTGCTGAAAATTTAGTCAAGTTTACCACTCAATTTGAAGAAAGGTGAGAGTTTGAACCAATTAAATATTGTGCATTTCAAAGTCAGGATAGTAACGTTGTGTTAATCAGCTGTTGGATAGTTTTGAGGGTATACATGAAAAGGTCTAGGTTTTACCCTGATTAAGACGGACTCCGCTCAAAGTTCGAGCAATAAGTGCAAAAATTATTTACTAAAAGTCTTCTCACAGCACGGTAACTTTTGGAATACCATTTAAAACAACTCACTTTAGTTCATTTCTTTAAGTGACCCCGCGCTTAAATTCTCAAGCATTTTCGAGAAAGTTAATGTCAAACCTCATAAGAATGCTTAAAGCGTGTGTAGATTGTGTTTTTAACTAACGCGAAACGTCTGTTTTAATTGAAATATGGATAACTTCAAGTTCAATTTTCTCTCGCAAGGTCAGCTTGAGAGCTTAAGTCTCGATAGGTTCTTAACTGTATTTAAAATATTACCAAGCCACGAGGTTTTTTTGGTGACTTAATTTTTGCCATTATCGCTCGAATGTTCTGCGGAAGTCATCTTAAGATCCTTGTCTAATGTCACTGGACAGGACAGTCAGTCAGTCTTGATTACCACCCAGGTGGACCAGTGNGAAACCATATTTGTACCCCTGTTGGCTTGTTAGAAGACTAGGTACTTTGAGAAAGTATTTATAGTAACTTATATGATTAGATTTGAAACGATTTTTAAAATCTTCTTTATTTTTCTCTCATCTTGTAGTCAACTGATTTGCTCTGAGACTATTGTCAACTATATCAGTGGTAACTTCGTTGTATGGGCGTGGGACATGACTCATGATACCAACAGAACAAGGTTTGTACTACAACAAGGAACATTCAATCTTCAGAATTCAGTCGATGAAGCAAGAGCTGTTTTGGCACATCTTTGTTAGGCACTCGTAAAATTATCCAATCAAATAACAGTACGAGCTAGCACTCGGAAGTCTGCCCAAAGTTGTGACGTCAGCTGCGGGTTCATTTCGGTGTCGGAGACCGAAATTTGCCATCAACTAGTACTTTCTCCCTAAAAATAGAAAAATAAAAACAAAACATTTAACAAAAACATCAACAGTTTCGCTGCACGTGTAGATCAAACTAACCTAAGTTGTCCAGCAAACAGACCTAGATTGAACACCAGGCCTGGTTGAAGTCAAATTGACTTATATCACAAATTGATATACAAAATAAAAGTTACAATAGTACACGATCTTAAATAAGTTCTTTTTGTGGTGTGCAAAAACTACCTTCATATCACGACAAGTAAGCGAGTACTTATGCGAAAAGGGACATGGTCGCTACAGCAATAGAGAGAAAATTAATGGTGAATATCGAAATTAATGGTGGATGATAATTGATGCGTCATCTCAACTCTTTGAGCATGCGGTCTCTTTCGCAGTCTTCAGGGTTTTTTGACAAATCAAGTGAGACGCGTTGCGTTTTGGTGCAAAGCAAGTCGTGAATTACGGGCTTGATAACTCAGGAAAAGACGTTGTCGACTAGAAAGCTAGTAAGATCACTCGAAATGAGAATCCTCGGGGAACTGTCTTTCGCAACATGACGGGGACTAGAAGATGTGAGAACTTTTTACAATTCTCGTGCTTCCAGGTTTTGAGACTTTCTGTTACCTGTACCCAATGCAAAAAGGTAGAATAGAATCTTAGTGCTATTTATCTATTTCTCTTGCTCCTTGTATTCAATCAAAGCTTTTATTCTGTTCTAGATTTTTAGACATGGTGACACAGCATTTTGGCAGTGTGGCCGCGAGCACGGTCAGAGGGTTTGGGGCAGAACAGTATCCACTACTCTTAGTTGGTTTGAAAAATAGATCAGCGATGGAAATTTGTTCCGTTCTTCAAGGTAGCGAAAAAAATATCAGTTAGTTGTAATTCTAAGCTTAGACGACGCAAGAGCTTTGTTTGCCGGCTCAGTCATGGTCACGTCACCTCCGAGATTTGACCCAAAAACTTCCAGTGATGACGTGGCTGTGCAGAGATCTGGCTAGTATCTTTGATTGGTTGTTATAGTTAAGAATTGTCACGTGCGAATACAGCGGTTTTCAATTGGGTATCGTGAGACCAAAACCAAAGTAATCACCCTGGCAAATCAGAAACGACATAGGGAAACCAGTGAACCAATCAAAACTACAAGCAAATGCCTGTAGCCGACGCAAAACGCGGGAAAACGTGTGCGAACTGGTCGTGATTGGTTTTGGTTTTACTTCTGATTGGATGGCAAAGTGACGCGAATTCTTTAAGCCAATCGCGTAACGTACTCGCAGTAATTAAAAACCAAAACAAATTTGAATTACATGTACCCTAGACAGTCAAGTGCAAACTGGTCCAACAACCAAAACAAAAATACATGTATCTATGGGTGCTTGTTATCAGTACGAGATTTTTGAAGTCAAATGACAGGTTTCTGAACTGGATGAAGGGAAGAGGCTAGCTGTATTTTAACTATGATTACTGATTACCCACATGTATGATTCACCCATATTGCATTAAAACTTCTCTCTGCTCTGTTGAATTATGAGAGAGAATCCAAACGCTCTTGTTTTTTATCCCAATCTGTTAAATATTTGTAGAGGTATTCGAGTAGTCGTAGAACGAGTCTCGATCGATCGATACTTATTCGAGTAGTCGTAGAACAATTATCGATCGATCGGTCACTCACTCAACCAATCAGTCAATCTCGAGTGAAGACAGAGGTTGACGTGGGATTCATTAAAACAAGTAGACAGCAAGCAGTTACATTCTTGGTTTACCTGTGCAATCCTGAATTATTTCATTTTGTGTCAGGCTCTGTTACCCTTGATGAGCTTATGACGGGACTCATAAGTGCCCACGAGACATTTCAACAAGCAATGGACGTTGAAATACGCGAAGAGGTAAGAGAAACACAGTAAGGTAGACCTCTCACACACGGCGGGGGCGTACGAGATTCGTTGGCTGATGGTTTTCCCGTGAATTCTGGCAACCACATCCAACCCTGCCTCAATTGATAATGGATCATTTTTGTATTCTCGGTATTGGATTGGAACTAGTTTACAACTGAGGCTAATGAGGGGAGCAAATTAAATGACATTTATCTTTTTTTATGGTATTCCCCTGTACAAGCCTTCATTGCAAGCTAGCTTCAGTCCAATACGGAGAATACGAATATGGCTTGGTAAGAAGTTTAATATTATTTGTGTGAATGTTGTTTACAGGAAGAACGAGAAGCTAGGGAACTAGTGAAAAGAGAACAAGATGAAGCATACCAGGCCTCGCTCCGCCAAGATCGGGCAAAGGTTGGTGGTTTCAAAGAATAAGATTGCTTCAGAGTCGATATCGGAAGTCTTTTGCTGCTGAATAGCAATCTTTATGTCCTCTCAGAAGGTTACCTGACCCCAACCTTAACATACTGTTTAATTTTTCACAAAGGCTGAGGAGAAACGAAGACAAGAAGAAGAAGAAATTCTGTCCAAAAAACGTCACGAAGAGCAGGCTCTACACGAAGCCGAGCTTAAAGAGGTATGTTTACCTTTTCTGCTTGAGTAAAGCTTAGTTGTTATTAATACGACGAGTGAAAAACTCCCGTAACCCAAGCGCACTTCTGATCCTGTATCCGTCAGCCAACATTATTCTTTCGTCGTGTGACAAAGATCGACCAATGTGTTGTGTTGCCTGTGAACAGGCTCTCTAGTCGAAAATGGGGCGATGGGAAAACGGAAAGAAAGAGGATCCCATTTCCCCCTCGGCCACCTTACTATTAATTTTGCCAGTTCCTTCTCGGCGCTTCCAGGCGCGGTCAGATTCCTTCCAACCGGAGCCTGTTCAGAGGCTATCGATGTTGTAAATGCTGATCTGATATTTTTTTTATTAGGGTACAAAAGAACCACGTTTCGGTTTCGGCTTGGCTTTGTTTTAATCCCAATACATATATCTTCCTTTCCAGGCCCAGAGGTTGTCACTTATGGATCACCTCCCTGCGGAGCCTGGTTCCGAATGTACAGCTCCGGTTTCCAATCTCCGTTTTAGGTTGCCTAATGGCGATACTGTAGCGAGAAGATTCCTGGCGAGCAACCCGCTTCAGGTTTGATAAGTGTAATTTCATAGTGCATTAGTTTTTTTGCGGGAAATGAAGTCTGATATGGCGATAAGACCGTGAACATTTCGGTGATGTAACTGAGTCTTATTTTTAGTGAAAGCCACCTCCTCCCCAGATCTCGCGCGTTTTCGGTCATTGATGATTGTAGGCTAGATTTCCAGTCGCTATTCATGAAACGAGCTCGCGCACCAGCCCAGAAAAGACCGCACGCGAGAGAGCGGTGGAAATCGAGCCTAAGGTGATTGCTGTCTTTAAGGATCGGAGCCTCTGGGAATGAGATTGGATGAAAAAATCTCAAGGTCATTCTCAAACACTGAAAACATCCTTCTTACACCTTTCTACCTTATATTTTACAGGTTGTGTTAACTTTCGTTCAGACGAGAGGTTATCTAGACAGTGAATACAAAGTAGTGACAAATTTCCCTCGAAGAGATGTAAGTAGAATTGTGCACACTGCAGCCTCTTATGCCTCGTCGTTTGTAGTTTTATGTTTTGGAAGTCTGGGAGGGGAGATTCCGAGAGGATACAGCTGCAGGACATTTATCGTTTAGTGTATGCGAAAGTCGTTATCTTCTTCTGGCAGTGCCACTCCGAGAAGTGACTGGGCTTGTGGGACAATGCACTGGAAGGAGTGGGTACAACACGCGAGTACTCTCAGTGAAATCGGCTGCAGGATTTAAGAGCCCTTTGTTAACAAGATGGAACAAACAACTTATGTCCCGTTGACTGATAGACGTTAATTTTGTTCATAATGCTAGCATTGTTTAGCAGGTAATGGCTGAACTATCCTGCTGGCATTTAGAGACACTTATGCCTGATACTAAGAGTTTTAAGAGTTTCAGTGACCTTTACTCTCAAGAAGAAATAAAAGTGAAGGTTCACTCAAGCCCACAGACCCGGTTTTCATGACTAGTAAATATCCTCGAGGACTTTAAGGAGCTACGTCACAGTTTGCACCTCTTGAAAAGTTTAGTTCGTAATCTGGGTTAATCTTCTCTATCCTGAACCATCCTTGTTCCCTTATGGTTTAGTATTATCTATTTGGTGGTTTTCTTTCTTAGTGAACTACTATTTTCAGGTGTCCTTAATTCAATTTAAAGGTAATTTTATACGTGGCCAAAATAACTCAAAATACCGTGACTGAGCTCCTTTGTAGGAATATTGATGAAACTTCCAGTGTATCCATTTCTAAGTACATTGTAATACATGCATTACAACTTTACGTAATATCTTTTTTTTTTCTTGGTAGCTCTCAGCGTTGGATACAACGGAGTCACTTCAGTCAATTGGACTTTATCCTCAAGAAACAATTTTTGTTGAAGAGCGTTAGAAACTTGAAAGTATGCAATCCGAATTAGTTTTATTTCCATCAAATAACTTGTAATATAAAAAGCTGAAGTACACAGCTCCGTTTGCCTCGTTTCGCACAACTGGAGAAAAAAATGAAGAATGGAAGAAAGGAGGCAAATAAAGAAACCACAAGAATTTTGGCTCATTCCCTCCTTTACTTGGTGTAAAATTTGGACCAGTGGAAACCTGTGTTGAACACTTAAGGGACCTGAAAATACTCATAGTTACGTCATAGCGATGAAGTCAAAATTGGATTGAAAAGCCTATTACCTAACTGGAAATTAGTTGTTGTTATATTGACAAATTTTTAAATTAAATTATATTCAATGGAAGAAAGGTTTCAACGCAATTTTTAGCAGTGGCACACTCGGTTAATGTCAAGTTCCATTAGGCCATGTCCAAGTTGCCTTTTGCCTCTGTGTCAAGACGAGTCTCCCTGCGAAACCATTCATATGGAAGAAGTTTCACCTACAGGTCCCTTTTCCTACAAACAAACTCATTTTCATGTGAAAGGTTTTGCACAAGGACTCGTTTTGAAACAGAGGTCTAAGGTAATTCGGAAATGGCCTATTGTAAGACCGCAGCATTTCTGAAACGCTTCTCGCACGGCCTCCAGATCATAAACCCGTACTGAAACAAACCCGCACCGAAAAAGCCCTTTGAAGGAAAAAAGAAAAGAAAAGATAGAAAGGCGCCCAGAGGGTATTACCGGGATTTACTGTATTTAAAGTCCTTCTCGCATTCATCCGTGAAGCCTGTTAACCGTAGTATGTCGTGTAATAACTGCGTGAACGTCTCTGCTCCTTTAAGACTTCCCCGGCATTTTTCTCCCCAAGCTTTCACTTTGGACTTTCAAGCTTTAGTTTGAAGTTAATTTTGGATGTGTAAAGATGACCTTCGATTTATCGTGACGCAATGCACTGCCAACAGGTCCATTTAGCTGCGGGTTGGAGGTTTTGCTGTTGATTTACTCCGGCGACCGTGCTCTGTTTTCTAACGCCCTCTAGCACGCAACACAAGGTGTCTCATTCCAGTGAATGGCTAGTGGATTGGCAGGAATCTAAGTTGAGAATGGGAAAGAGCCGCTAATGGCAAGAAAGAAAATCTCACAACAAAGTAAAAAGCGTTTTTTTATCTAATGGTTGAGCGGGAGGTGGCTTGGTAACTTCTGAGATCTGGTGTTTAGTAGTGACCTTGACTCGCTAGCTTAAACCGAAGCAGAACTCATTTTCGACACAAATAAAACGGTAATTGTCATAAACGAGCCCTAGCCAATATTATGACCACAACTCAGTTTGACTTACTAAGTTGGGCAAATAGAGGGAATTGCTATACTTAACATTTCGCGCCCTTCATTTAATTAATTTTTTATGGGACGGGAGGATTAGCCCCGGGTGTTCTGTAAGGCTGACCTTCCCTTAGCCACTATAGCCTGTTATCCCTAAAGGCGCCGGATCCCCGCCTTATGCCGTTGTCCCTCAGCTGCAGTAGAACTGCATTACCAGGGTCATGATGAGGACATGCGGAAGCCGACTTTGTGGCAGAGCCTATGACACGGAGGAGCATTCCCCAGCATTTGCAAACTACACGTAATGGCACCAGTGCACTCCACTGGGACACATTACCACCCTTGCATACCATCCAACTCTCCAACTCTCAAAATCTGCTTCTTGAATCATTTTTACTAATTACCGACTGTACAAGTAAATGCATGGGTTAAGTTTCCGGACGGTTATAAGTGAAGATAATTGTATGGTGAATTCTGTTACTCTGCTCCCTTCAGAAAATTAAACCAACGCATTTCTAAAGGGCGGTAGAACAGTTAACTGCAAGTTCAAGCAACACATGAATGTAACTTCCATGATGCAGTCTTACGCATATGTTTTGTTCTTACAAACAATTTTTAATTACTTTTTTACTTTTTCATTCCAATGGCCAATTCGATCCCACTTTAAGACGCACCTGCAGGGAATCACGATGGTAGCTGCATTCATCAAGTAATTTAGTGACTGTTTGTATGTCAACTACATCTAGCGCGACAGGCACTGAATATCCAGTCCAAGATGATGAATACAGCTTCCATGATTCTGCAGGCACATCTAATAAATGGAATTGGGATTTGGCGATTCATTTTGGCCCCATGAACACTGCGGCGAACTATACTGTATTGACAAATCGTGATCGATTTAGATATACTCAGTGTACTTTTCTTCGCCATACAACCGTCCACAAAGTAAAAAAGCGATAATCAAGTCAACAAGGATTTTTCAAATAAAACCATGTTGTCTTTTTTCGAGCTTAGTATTAAAATCGACGCGCATTTTGTACATGCCCGTTTGGATATGTAAAGAAAAGTGAACGTCGCGATCAGTATAATTTGAGAATCTCGCCTATCAACGAAATAAATGCGTCCTTTTAATCTTCAGTTACTGACGGTTGAAATATGACCAATTCTCCTTCAGTACCACCCTTATATTCAATAGTACCAGAAACTTCTGGAAGCAAAATCGAATGAAATAGAAATTTTTGGCAAGAACATTGGGTATACCTCGCAAAGTAGTTGTTCTGTTTTTCGGACATTTTGGAAATTTTCGGAAATTCCTGCTGGTATTTTTGGTCAAACGGAAAGCGCCCTGGTCAGTCAAATGCTATATATAATTACTGAAGGCAATTACATTCTCTTAATTGTTGAATATGCAAAATTAAGATTTTAGATTCTAGGGCTCAGTTATCACAGGGAGTCTTGTCTTTATATGTAGCGCACAGGAAAGAGAGCCTAATGAAGATTTCTGATTATAATACTGACAAGTACTCGGAAGGAAAAAGAGGGCCTTAGTTGAGGAGGGGACATAACTTCTCCCCCCGTCTGATATTGAATCTACGTCCAATGTTAGAAGACAGGAGCTTTTCATTTCGGGGTACTACGTACCACATCGGCTGAAAAGCAAGGAACGAAAAAGAACAGTAGTGGCGTAAAACTTTGACCACGAGGATAACACATGCTCCACGAGGGGTGGCCAAGTAGGTAATGCGGAAACAAGTACTTACAGTGTTGTACATTGAACGAGGAAGTTAGCTCCAATTGCAAAGTCATGTCAGATCATATAATTGAAGAAAACAATATACATGCATTTTGTGGCTCTTGACAACAGCTAATAGCGAGCTAAATTCGGTAATAGGGCTTCCCCCGGAGAATATTTCTCTCGATTTTTTTAGTTAAATCATGCATGGTTTTATCATACTTTCCAAATTCATAACTTGGCTTACAGTTAGGCTAAATGGGTGAAATAATTATATTACTTGAGATCTTCCTGGTAAAATAGGATAAACAGCTCAAAACTAGCATAAATCCCTCTTCACGTGCAAGGAGTACCCCCTCCCTCACCTCGCCTACGCTTCCCTACCCCTCTCCCACCCAAAAAAGGAGGCTATTTTGAGCGCCAATCGGACTCGTTCACGGGTCGGTGCACTCGCATCCGACCGCGCCGTGCCGAAATAAACCCCCGTTCGGGGGTCATTCATTTTGAAAGCTGCTCTTCGCGCGAAGAGAATTCAGCATAAGCACTTGTAAACAACTCTGTCCTTTACAAAGCCGAGAGATCAAGACCACCTGGACACAGAGGAATCTCAAATCGGTAAGCTTATGTTTAATTGATCTTTGACTCATTCAACAGGCTTATTTCAATGTGTACATTGCCCATTTAGAGGAGCTTAGCTGGCGCTATGAAGCATTCTTT